TTTTTTTTTTTTTTTTTTTTGGTGTGTGTTTGTTCTTGAAAATATGAAGTGTACTGTAAATGTTGAAATTTGGTAGAATGACAGAAGAGGTAGAATCTCCTCTGGGTTTGGAGGATATCAGTATGCTGTGAAACGTGCGGCGATCTCATCAGGAGTCCTTTTCTGTAGACACTAGTGGAAACAGAAGGGAAGTAATTCTAAAGCAGCAAAGGAAATTAAAATTACAGAAAAAAACCCAGACGGGAAACATGTGCATAATCGTATCAAGAGAAAAATAACTTGAGATACAGATACTCCATGGGATGATGAAAGCTGGACAAGCATAATGGTGATAGATCTACAGATAACCTGAGACTTTAAATTAAGGATACATTTATAGTAAAAGGATTTTTGCATGTTAGTGCGATGGGGGGAGGGGGGGAAGTGACAATGGTGTTAAAAACGTTTCATTCTGCACCAGAAATCCCTTATTTGAAAAATCTTAGGAAGATCAGAGTGAAGTAATAAATAAAGTTACCAGGGTGTTTTGGCTTGTGAGGTGTGATTAAGCTCATAATAAATAGGTATTATTGAAACCTCACAAGTAACAGAAGAGAGAGCAAGCATTTTTCATCCTTCAGACATTTGTAGATAATTGAAGAAGGGAGAGGAAATATTTAAAAGTTTGAAATGTGTTTAAACTGGAAGGAACAGCATTAACTGAAGGGTAAAAATGTTGAAAATAAGATGATGTAAGGTTTACGGGCTGGCATTTTTAGTAGTCTAAGAGTGAGATGAAACAAAACGCTGGAGTATGTCCTTTGGGGAGCAGCCCTGCACTGTGGTGAGGAAAGCAGAATAGGTTTTGTTTGTGGCTAATTAGCATTCTCTTCCTCCTATCAGGGGTACTAGCGGCTTGTAAAGAAAATTGGAAATAGTTTCTGCTACTGCAGCTTTCCTGGGCTTGCCCTACCAATTTTTGAAATAAAAAAAAATCAGTTTCATATTTACCTCCTATTTTAAACACAAGAAATGGGCAGACAACGTGGGCTGTATGAAAGCACACAGACAATGGAATATAATGAAATACTGTAAGCAAAGAGCTTGGAAAGGAGGCAGTATGCGGACGGAGCGGAGCTGTTTTGACAGGGGGTCAGTACTCCGAGTAGGTGAGCGATGGGGTTGCTGATACCTGGTTTGCAGTGGGGTAGCTACCGTCCAGCCTCTCCTCCCTCCCGCTTGTAAAACTCGCCCTGCAGATCTTGATGATGGTTTGGGTCTGGTCAGAAGCTCCCGGTTTTGGAGCTTGAGGATAGCAAGGGAGTGAGCAGAAGTGGAGGGCTGGTGGAGCTGCCCTCCTATTTTGGGGGGGGTTGGGGAAATACCCTGTCCTGCTTTCACAAAATGTGCTCAAAAACAAACCAACCAAACAAGAAACCCCTCCGCAGAGCTGCTAAGCACGCGACACAGGGCTGCAACTGCTCAGGGCAGTGTGTGCAAGGAACCAAGTGCTGGCCGTGGCTGGCATGCTTGCCTCAATTTTTCTTTCTCCAATAAGGCTGCGGAGTTTTGTGTTTCTGCAGGCAGCAAGGCTTTGCAGCGGCTGGACTTTAGCTAATGAAACCATCCGTCGTTCGGCGCGGGCCAAGGCTGCATCTCGGCCCCGCTAAGTGGTATTGAACGCCCTTCGCTCTCCTTCTCCCCAGCTGCGGGAACGCGCGGCCACGTGGGCCCCAGGGGAGGCAGACCAGAGAGACTAATGTCAGAGCAGATTTGGGATTCAGCCAGCGTCTGAATGACCCAGTGCTGGCTGGAGGTGCGCCGCGTTTGTCGTTGTTTCCTTCGCCCGGGAGGGAGGGCTGCAGGTAGGCTGATAAAGGGGCTGCAAGGTTGGTCTGGCTTCGCTGGAGGTCCGTCAGCCCCTGCACGCTCTCTGCTGAAAGGCTGCTTGGTAATTCCCGCTCTGCCTTTCCTATCCGCGGGGGAAGGTCTGCTTGGCTTTTACTCCATTGATTTAAGCATGCTGGTGTCAGAATGAGCTCGAGCACCTCCAGGCTTTGAGGGGGAGGACCCGGGGCTGGAACAGCAGCCAAAATTTAAAGTCAGGATTAGTCTGTTGACACGCACATAAATCAAACAGCCCTCCTATCATAAATCTTTTCTGGGGATTTTTTTTTTTTTCTGCTGCGGCAGTGGAAGCGGTAGCAGTGGTGCAGCAGCCTGGGCTGCCCAGGGCTGGGTTTCAATGTCAAGGCTGTCCTCCTTTGCCCGAGGTGGCTGAATGCAGCTCCCTGCTCTCCCCTCGGTAAGATCTCTGCGGTGGCTGCAGGGCTGCATGCTTTTGTGTTTGCTTCGGGTGGTTTTCAGGCATGGTGGGGTAGAATTTTTAGTGTTTCTTGGGGATATCTTTTGCATGGTCAGTTGTCTGTTTCCAAGTCGTCTGGTTGGTGTCAACTACATCTAAGGCAGTGCTGAAAGCTGCTAAAAAGTCCACTGCCCTAGCATAGAGGTCTCTGTGGGATACCCTAAGCTGAGGGAGGAGTGGGTAATTAATGCCTTGTGTGATGGTAGTGATGCTCAGGACTGGGAGAGAGAGAGCATGCTCCAGGCTTGTGATCTAAACTCAGTTCCCCATAGCTCTTCAGTGTTGTCTGCACAGCCAGCAAGAAGCAAGTGGGCTATTCCAGCAACTAGATACCTGAGCACCCATGCTCTGTACTCAGTGCTGCCAGAGCAAAGGATGGGTCTGCTGCGCAAATGGGTTTTGAAGAGTGTACTTCTGTTCTGTTACTGTAACACAGCAGAGAAGTGCTCTGAACTACACCATATGCTTGCTTGTGAGCAGAGCCATGAGCATCAGGCTGGAGGAGATGGACCCAGATACGGTACTTTCAGGGTTATTAAAGAACCCTGTTACTCTGTCTGTGTTTCCTTCTCCATTGCAATGTTTCAGTGCCTCTTGCCCCTTCTGAAATAATGCCTTACTGTGCGTAAAGCCTTGTGTGGGATTACAGGGGTATGCAATTTGCAAGCCCCCTAGTTTGTTCTTCGCATGCCACCCAGTAGTGAGAAGATTTCCAAAAAAAGATGAAGAAAACAATGTCATGGCTCAGAGGAGCAAGGCGTGCTCTTTTTGATAGAGAAGGTAGTAGAAGACTGTGCAATGTTATGGTGGCTGTAGGTGGGATATTTACATGAACTCTATGCAGCATGGATGTGGATGATGTGGATGATTTCTCAGGCTGATGTTTTGATTCTGCTGTAGTGTAGTAAAGCTTTTTTCTCCTTGTGCCTTTTTTCAGGGTAACCAGGAGCCAGCAGCAACTCCTGATGCAATGGTGCAGCCATTCACCACAATCCCATTTCCGCCACCCCCACAGAACGGGATTCCCACAGAGTATGGGGTGCCACACACTCAGGACTATGCAGGCCAGACCAGCGAGCACAATCTGACGCTCTACGGAAGCACGCAGCCGCATGGAGAGCAGAGCACGAACACGGCCAGCACGCAGAACGGATCTCTTGCAGTAAGTGCAGAAGGGTGCAGAGCCAGGATAGCAGCACAGTGCTTTGGGAAAAAGCAGCCGTTGGTTAGATTGCTGACTGTTTCTTAAGTATGCAGTGAATCAGTGGTAGCTGTGAAAAGGAGAGAATTATAAACAAAACTTTGAGTTAATTGGTGAATGGTTCAGGTGAATGTGATGGAGGCAAATTCTGGAAGGTTGACAGCACAAAGTTTTAGGGTGAGCACATGCATTGCAGGTGTAATCCCAATGTGGTTTTGTTTTCAGGAAGCTCACAGAGTAGAAAAATACTTTTATTTGACTTTCTGAAGACGGCAGGAAGCTTCATGGGGCAAAGATAGGAGAGGACCTCTCAGCTACTGGGCATCCATCTGCCAAACAAAGATTTTCACCTTCTATTTTTTTGCTTTCTTCTTCCCATGGCCTGGAACAGGCACTGGGCAACACGCTGGCAGATAATACCAGGAAAAGCTTTATCCACCCCTTAAGCCACTTGTTAAGACTTAACTTCCTAATAAAGAGCCTTATGGTGAGAGCCTTTGGGGCTCAGGGGGCGGATTTAATCTGTTAATGCTTTCAGTTTTACTTGTAGTTGGGTGTTTGGCTCGTAGATGATATTTTTCCCCCTGTACGTACTGAGTGGATTCGGTGCCAATGATTGGAAGAACTGATAGTGCCAGCTCAAGTCTGCATGGTTCCTGGCATGCGGTGCTGCTGTTCCTGCAGTGGGCAGTGGCTGCATGGTTGGCAACACCAGTTATGGCTTTGATGAGATATCTTTGAGTTCATCCTGGCAACACCCCAACTTTAGCACCTTGAAGAAGAAAAAGAATGCAAACACGGTAAAGCACTTTTGATAGTGCGTAAAAGGAACTTCAGGTGCCTTTCTGAGCAAACACAAATGTAGATGTGAAGAGACCAGACTGGAAATAAAACTTGGAGCAGGTGCAGCGTGCAGAAATGCAAGTCATCATTTTAATACCCAATTGTCCTCTGTCCTTCCAACGTGTAAGATCTGGGCTGTCCGTCTCCAGCGAACAGCTATCTTGAGCACTGCCAGTTGGATAGGAGAGCTGGTAACAGGGAATAAAACAGGGCAGTGGCTTTCCCCATGTATTTTCACTGTTCCCATCCTTTCCCAGAGCTTAAGAGCGTTTCTTTTTAATGGAAATGATGCGAGCCTTGACCTTGGATGTAAGCTCTTGCCAACCCTCCCGCTCCACTTCCATATTAGGAGCCATCTTCGTGGCACTGCAGGGCCGAGCTCTGTGTTTCATCAACTGATGCCGGCTCCGAGGAGCCCGCAGCGCGCAGGGAGGCTGACTAGCCTGCGAGGAGGGACTGGGAGCCCATCTGTGCGGGAGGGAGCGTTGCTGGGAGACTGCTGGGAGGCAGCGGTGTTGCCAGGAGGCTGTGGAGGGAGCCTGACTGGCAGGGGTTATCCAAGAAACAGGCTGAATAACACATAGTGCTTGTGCTGGCTGTTGGGAACAGGTGGGCACGTCTGGTCTGACCATTTGATGTGGTTAAGGACACATGAGCTGAGAGTGCAGAGTCGGGCTCGCAGATGTTAGTTAGCTGGGAAAGGGTAAGGGCACAGACGAGCACGTTGCTGCGCCTGCTACGGCTGGGACTGATCGGACGCAGAGGATCCCAGATGGTGGCACATGGAGAAATCCGGCGGGAGGGGGAAGGCGCCTCAGCCAAGGGCTTTTCACGTGCCAGACTTTTACAGGCGCAGGGTCCTGGATGTTATGAGTCCCTTTTATCTTTCTGTCTAGGACTCCTTCTCTGTGAAGTTATTTTGATTCTGTGGGCTGCTTTGGGATGTAAGTGCTTGTAACTTTTCTCCTTCTCAGTATGCTGATTAATGATGTAGGAACTAGGGGAAGGAAGAAGCCACAGTAGTTACTCAAGCTAAAGCATGCTGTTAAAGTTAACAGCAAAAGAGATTGGTGGTTTCACCTTGAACATCTACAGCTAAGGTCAAGCAGCTTGTCCATCACATAGCTGGTTATTACTTGTTTGACATACATGTTCAGTCCACGTGGACGAGACTGCTGTGCTTTCAGGCATCTTTTCCTTTCACCTTTTTGTTGTCTTGCTCAAACAACAGTGCTAACTTTTAAGAGAGCAAAAAATCGTTGTGGGTGATGTATGATCCTTCCCTCCCATCCCTGCGACAGACAAGCGCAGCTGCTGTCATGTGTGTGAAGGCGATACCCCAGGCTGAACAGCCGGTGGATTTTTTAGCTGCTGACTTGAAGCCTGTGCTCCCAAGGGATGATTCAGAAATTCCTTCAGCCAGAGAGATAAGGTCTCTCCCTGCTTTTAAGAACAAGGCCTGTGCTTGGTCCAGTTGGCAGGACAGAGCGAGATAGCGAAAGGTGTGCTCAAATGGTGGGGCTTCCCTGCTTTTCAGACTGGTAGCCTTTAGGATAATCCCAAAAGTAACAAAGAATGGGGGTAGCTTAGAGGTCCCTCGTGGAAAGGAGAGTTTTGTCCGGTTGGTAAGATGTTATGCAGCAACGTAATGGGGTCTATAATGGGGTCCCTGACACGCTGGGTGGCAGCACCTTTTCATAGAAACTTGGCAGGTTCTGGCGGGCAAGTCAGATTAGAGATGAGCAGTGGTGTCTGAGGTAACAGACGGTGGTCTGGAAGCCTGAGGTCACACAGCAGCAGTGAAGTAAAATAAACTTTGAGAGTCAAATTCCATGCCTTCCTATGCAGTCTAAAAGCCCTGAGCAAAGGAGAATGGCTGGTTGGTGTCATCAGCTACAGATGAGCTTGGTTCTGGAGGTCTGAGTGTAGCGGAAAGCATTCAAAGCTCTCAGAGCAGGGGTATGGAAAAGAAATTGGCACAATAGGTGGTGTAATACAAACAGCTTAATATTTTGGAATCTTTTTTTATTTTAGGATCGAGCCTCATCTGTGGGGCTTTGTTTCTTGCCTGGCATTTAGGTCTCCCAGTCTTCATCTCCAGGCATCTGTCCTTTCTTTTGATACTGTCCCAAAGCACAGCTGAAAGACCTGGATTAAAAATAGACTGAGGTACTGGACCATATTTGGCCTACTCGGTCTGCCTGTTGCAGCCTGTCTCTTAAACCGTTGGCGCTCTGCATTTCGCTTCTTATGGTGCTGGGTCGCCCGGTCTCTTCCCCCTTCTTGGTTTACGTTAGTGCCCTTCTCCCTGATGGAGACACCCAGCACAGATAGCTGCGAGCGGAGGTGCTAATTAGGCTGCAGTACCTCTGGCAGCTGAGCTGATCTAAAGATTCACTGCTGTCAGAAAGGAGAGATCTGGCTCCAAGCGCAAACTCCCACTCCTGTTTACTGGCTCTGGCATTCCTTACGTGAGCCACTTTAATTCACTGACCTGGCAGAAAGCTGTCCAATTCTTTTGCTGGGTTAATGAATTAGAGCAGCTCTTGGAGGGATCCAGCAAATGCTGCTGTTGCAAGGTAAGCGTATGGAGTGCATGGCCAGAAGCCGAGAGAGTTGTCAGCTCTCTGCATCTCCTGGTACTCTACCCGCAGAGGGAAGATTAATCATCCGCTGAACTAAAAAAGCTTGCTTGATAGTAAAGGCAATGCACTTAATACTGTGAGCTGATTATTCAACTCATTTCTCTTGTTAATGTCAGAGGGAAGAATTTGTGTGTCTGTATAAATTATGGAATGCAGCTGGAGGTGTAGAAGTAGAGGAATAAGTTTATGTAAATTACTTTGCATGAAAATGGCAGGTGCTGTCGCCTTGGTGTTACGTTGTCATGAACCAATATAAAGCATTATTTAATTACAGAGAATCGTGTCTCTTGGCTTCTCGATGTGCCGTACTGAAGCATATTTAACTCATCTGCTATACCGTCAAGGGATATTGACTTTCTGATTTTTATAAAGGAGACACATCTGTGGTGGGAACACCTGTGTGTCATGTTCAGAAGCAAGACAGGGAAGCTGCTCGGTCATCTGGCTGTGCCCCATATACCTAGCAAGAGTTTGGAAAGAAGGGAGCCAACAGCACCAAGAGTTCCTCAACTGACTTTTGTAACACATGGATAATGTTATAATAATGACTTTCCCTTGGGTGTTTCTTGACTAGTCTGAGATTGCAGAATTTTCCTCTGTAATTATTTTTCATCACTTCAGTAATTAAAGCAATTGCTCGTGTGAGTTATTTCAGGTGAAGAATATGTTTAATGAATGTCCTCACCTATCTTTTGATACTGCTGAGCAGATAGACATGAGGAAGAACGAGCTTCAAATAAGTAGCTAGCTGCTGATCGTTTGGCCACCTCAGCTTGGAAATTGCTGTCTTGGGGTAGCAAACTCTGACATTTAACATCAGGAATTTGCTTTGAGTGTGAGGCAGATTATTTTATTATTTTGAGCTTGAGGCAGATTATTGTCAGCACTTGTAGACTTGTGTCTAGTGAGGCAGATTTAAAAATTATTTCAAAAGAGAAACAGGAAATAAATCAGCAGATATCATTATGTTAGAGTATACAGCCGTGGTACTTCAGCATATCTCAAAGGTTGTAGCAGATCTAGAGTAGTACAGGGAAGGATAATAGTGATAATGAAAGGGATGTGGAAGGTTCTTTATGAGAAGAAGTCTTCACTTACGAAAAGAGCTGACAGGAGTGAAGGCATATGACAAGTACATAGAATTTTGAATGGTGTGGGAAGTAAAATAGGGAACATTCCAATTTTCATTTACTAGGATGCACACAGGAAATAATGGGGTGCCACATATGAAAAAAACAGGATTTTGTTTCTTGTTTTTTTCCATATAATGAAGAATTTGGCATTGGAACTCGTGTCCATAGGATGCTTTGGAAGTTGAGACATCAACTGGCTCAATTCGCTGGAGGCTGTGCTGGAGAAAAATCACCAAATGTTTACCTTGTTCTTACATTCTTCCATAAATGCCACAGATTTGGGCGCTGTCAGAGAAAAGGTAGTGGGCTGGGTGAATCTTAGTTTGTCATTGTGTGGCTG